TCTTTTTTGAGACAGGGTCTCCTTGTAGCCCTAGCTGTCCTGGAACTCACTATGTAGACCAGGCTGGCCTTGAACTCACAAAGATCTGCCTGCCTCTGCCTCCCAAGTGTTGGGATTAATTTTTAAATTCGATTTGAGATTTTCATACAATTTAATTTGATGGCATTTAGATTCCTTCTCCTCTCCATACCTCCCCTTATGGCCTCCTGCCCAATTTAGTGCACTCTATAATGTATATATTAAGGCTTATAGAGTCTAATTTGTGTCTCCAGATGTCTTTCAGTGTGGATCCATCCACTGGAGCCTGGTTGAATTATCAAGAGTCCCATGCTTGAAAAAGACTGTCTCTATCCCTCCTAGCAGCCATCTGTTGCCATGATTTCTCTAGGTGGGGTGGGAGCTTCTTACTCTGTTCCTCATGTGCATGCTGGGATTTATTTTTCTGGTTTGAGCTTGCCCATGCTTAACATTTTTAAGGACAGGCATAGTAACAGTGAATTCTAGAAAAACTTCACTCAATTTAAAATATGATTAATGAACTATATTTTGGGAAGTTCCAATGCATTACAAAATTATACAAAATATCTGGCAATTATTCCTTTGCTAGGTGAAATCTTTAAGATACCATTACTGAGTTCTCAGCCTCAGGGCCTTTTCTCACGGACACCAATGGTGCAAGTGGTGTACTTGGAACAGTATGCCAGGGTACTGTTTGTCCTCCATCTTCTGTGCTGACAGCAGGTCACTGATGTCTGGAGCCCTCATGCCTGCTACTTCTGGCCTGAATTTCCTCACCTCCTTCCCCAGCCTTCTACAAGAAAGGGTCATGTTCTTTGTTGGCAGTGATGGAAAGCACTGCAAGAAGAATGCCCCGGAATAATTTCACAGGCAATTTTAACTCGTTGTAACTTTGACAGTGTCCTTTTTTTTCTCAATGTCTATTTTTTTATTAAATTTTTGTGCATTTCATACAATACATCTTAATCATATTCAGACTCCCTCTCCTATTTGCACCCCCTATAGCCCTACTACTACCAAATTTCATGTATCCTGTCATATATGCTAAGGCCTATATAGTCAAGTTTGTGTACCCAGATACCCTCGATGTGGTGTGAGTTCATCCACTGGGGTCTAGTCAGACTATCTAGAGTCAGTCCCTTAAAGAAGATCAGGTCTCCCTTACCCAGCAGTAATCAGCTACCAATAGTTCCTTGGCTAAGGTTGGGGCCTGCTGCCCATTTCCCCAGTTCTATGCTAGGTTTTTGTCTGATTGAGTCTGGGAACTTGTGAGGATGACGGTGTCCTTTTTGAATGCCCTAGCTTGCATTCAAGTCAAAAGGCTAATATGGTATTTCAATATCAGTTTCTTCTCTCTCATTCCTGACCTCCCACATATAGAAAAATAGAATTCTCAGTTTTTAAGCTGAGATTGTGAGTTCTACATACTTTGTTCAAAGACTCCATGGGTTGAAATGGATATACATACACGGTCACTAAAAATACCCTATAATACTTTTCTTCTGATTTTTTGAGACATGGTCTCATGCAGCACAGGCTGGTCTCATGCTTGATATGATGAGTTGAGGATAAATTTTCCATCCTCCTGCCTCTGCCTCCCTAGTGCTGGGACTACAGGTGTGAGCCACTATGCCTGGTTTATGTGTGCTTGGGAACTAACTCCTGGCTTCATGTATGTTAGGCAAGCACTGTATCATCTGAGCTGTATCTCCTGTCTTTTGACATTGTGATATGATATCATAATCCACAAAGTTCACATTTGAGAACTGTGCAATTGAGTTATTCGACCCCCCCTCAGAGAAAATTGCAAAATAAATCTAAAAATACATTAAGTAAGCTTACAGTTTTGGATTGGGCCATATTCATAGCTATCCTGGGGTGCATGTGGCCTGTGGGCTGTAGACTGGACATGCCTGGAAATTATAAAAATTGTTATCATCATTTCCAACATAGTCTATCATCAATTTACTTACATAACGTGTCTGGGTACAACAAGAAAATCACTCATGAAGAAAGTCATTATGGGAATTAAAGCTAATTAGATCTTCCCAAATTGCTAAAAGATAATACTGAGAGTTTCTAAAGTCAGTGATTACTCCAAGAGTAGACTTGGTTAAGACTATGATGTTGAGTGGGATTTGAATGAGAAGAGAAAAGAGCTGGGAAGGAGAGATCATGGTAGGGAGTAGAAATTTGAATCAGACTGATCAGAGCTGAGGCTGTTTATGGGAAACTGGTAGAATATGTGCACTGCTGCCGACAGACTGCTACGTGCGTAAGAGGTTTCGTTGTATCTTAAGATTCTTTAGTACATTGCGAGTTTAATGTCCCTCATGAACACTTACTATTTCTTTTCTTTTTTTCCAGAGGAACTTTTGAAAAGTTCTTAAAATCCGTTGAACTACTAGGGTTTCAATGCAGCCATTTGTTACACAGAAAGGATATCCTGGATTCCTTAAGGAATGAGAACTTTGACTTGCTGGTAGTGGAAACTTTTGACTACTGCCCCTTTCTGATTGCTGAGAAACTTGAGAAACCATTCGTGTCCCTTCTTCCCTCCTTACCTGCTTCTGTGGACATTGGGCTTCCAAGCCCCATATCCTATGTTCCAGTATTCCATTCTTTGCTGACTGACCGCATGGACTTTTGGGGCCTAGTAAAGAACCTTCTTATGTTTTTTTATTACTCCACGAAGCAAAAGAAAATACTCTCTCAGTATGACTCCACCATCCGGGAGCATTTTGCAGAAGGCTTTCGGCCAGTCTTGTCTGATCTTCTACAGAAAGCAGAGCTGTGGTTTATCAACTCTGACTTTGCCTTGGATTTTGCTCGTCCCTTACTGCCCAACACTGTCTATGTTGGAGGCATACTGGCCAAACCTGTTAAACCAATACCACAAGTAAGTGAAATCTTGATCCTAAGCTTTTTGATTTCAGCAGAGGTTTCTGTGCCCACATGGTGACTGCTGCTTGGTAGAGGACTCTTAAGACCCAAATAGGGTAATCCAAGGGAGACATCATTTTAAGATCATCCAAATCATACATTTTAAGAAAGTTCTCACTTTTTAAGGTTCTGCAAATGTGGAGTTAGATCTTGCACAACCCTTGATTGTGGGCCTCTTTATATGGTATGTTGTAGGTTCTTTTCTGACCTTATTAAAACCTGTGCCTTGGTGAGGATTAGATAAGCTCCTTAACTGAAGTTGGTGTTTTCCTTCTTCAGTTTTTAGGATTTAAAAAATGACATTTTTATTAATTTTTTGAGAATATCACACAATGTATTTTGATAATATTCAACCCCCTCCCTCATTCCCATCCCCCACCTTACTATCCCATCCAAGACTTTATGTCCTTTGTTACTTTTCTCTCTGTCTCTGTCTCTCTCTGTCTCTCTGTCTCTCTGTCTGTCTCTGTCTCTATCTGTCTCTCTCTGTCTCTGTCTCTGTCTCTCTCTCTCTCTGTCTCTCTCTCCCTCTCACCCATAAAGCCCAATATGTGTGTTGCCGACGTGCTCTTTGGTGTGGAACCATTCCCTGGAGCATGATCAACTTTCATTTGTCAAATTGGTTCTCCTTCTCCTGGCAGATATCAATTTCTAATAGCTCCTCAGCTAGGGTGGGACTTCATGTCCACCTCCCTCCTCCATGCTGGGATTTTGTCTGACTTAGACTTGCACAAGTGTTGTGCATGCTGTCATAACCGCTATGAGTTCATATATACAACTGACCTGTTATGTCCAGAAAACACTGTAGTCATTGTAGTCATCCACTGCCTCTGCCTTTTATAATCTTTTAGCTCCACCTTCTATGATGATCTCTGATCCTTGGGGGAGGGGAATGATAGCGATGTCTCTTATTCTCTGCACATTGACCAGTTGTGGGGTTAGCTCTGAATTAATGGCCATCTACTGCAAAAAGAAACTTCTCTGATGAGGGTTGAGAGATGCACTAATCTATGGATATAGTGATGTCATTAGGAGTCAATTTAATATTATGTCCACTTAAGAGAATAATAATAGGTTTTCCCCTAGGGTCTATGATCTGTCTATCCACAGGTTCTTGGCCCTGACAATGGTGTTAGGTATGGGTTCCGTCTTGTGGAGTAGACAGACCTTTAGTCCAGTCAGAAAATGTTTGGTTATTCCCATAACATCCATGTCACTATTGCAGACAGAATTTCACTATGTTGTCTACTTTGGCCTCAAACTCCTAAGCCCAAGTGATTCTTCTGCCTCAAGTTCCTTGACAACTGGGACTATTGACATGCAACACCATGCTTAGCTCTTCATTTGCATTCTGTGTGATAAATGCACAATAGACATGCAGTGAGTGCCCATTAACCCCATTAGTTGATAAGGAGAAGATTTAGTAACAGTGAAATAAACAGTCCTTGAGACAGAGAGGTAACCAGGGCAGGATTCTGTGGGACTAACAGATAGCAAAGAGTACTGTTATCTCTAGTGTACTCAGCTTCTAGAGCCCTGGATCCTTGTTATCCTAGACAATCTGATTTGATTATTCTGGTGTGGCTCAGGCACTATAAGCTTTGAGAATTGTCCATGTTGTTTGAAGGAACAGCACATATTCAGAATCACTGCTACTAAAGTTTTAAAAGTGAAGAAAGAGGTAAAGTTACTTGACTGCCTATTGCCTGTCAGCACTGGCTTTCTTTTTACCGAAGCTATCCTCTATAATATCCTGCCATGTGTAAGTGTCACCATCTCTGTTTTAGAAGAGTGTATTATTTACTTTTCTGTTGCTGTGATAGAAACACCATGACCAAGGGAACTAATAAAAGGAAGAGTTTATTTAGCTTGCAGTTCCAAAGAGGTAAGAGTCCATCATGGAGGGGAGGCATGGCAGCAGAAGTTGCTGGGGTAGGAACAGAAGCTAAGCTCTCATATGTTCAAGCAGGCACAGGAAGCTGAGAGTGACTGGAGATCTGGCAAGGCTTAAGAACTCTCTAAGTATGTCCCCAGTGACGTGTTTCTTAAGCATGACCATACCTTATAAGACCTCCCAAAACAATGCCACAACTAGGGACAAAATGTCCAAATACTTGGTGCCTATGGGGGACATTCTCATTCAAACCACCACAAAGGGGAAAGATGCTTGGGTGATATAATGGCTCTCCCAGTGTCCTTTAGCTCAAGGCACAGAGGGTCTGGATTAGTTTTGGGTCTTCAGGACGCAAATGTTTATTCTTGCTCCTCTTACCCTACGTTAACTGAGAAGGAAGAGTTTGGCAGTGATTTCTGAGTACAATTGGCTTTTTTTTGTTGTTGTTGGCAGAAGCTTTTAGAAATGGGCCTGGAAAGAAGGTCCTCAGTTAAAGACAGTGGAGTCCTAGTGTGTGGTTATAAAAGTGAGCAACTCTGTATGTAGTGGAAGATTCGCTTTCACAAAAAATGTCTGGTGAGGTTACCAGAGGCCTCATTTGATAGACAAATGGACCAGAATGCAGTCATGGTTGAGAGATAGCATTTTTTTTCTTCACGTATTTCACTGTGGACCTCTGGAATAGCAAACCGGTTAGTGGCATGCTGGGCAGAACCCAACACTGGATGAGTAACCTAATAAGATGTGAGGTTAAAAAGGAGCCTGAGGAGAGAATTGCAGAGAGAACCAAGGTCCAAAGAAATATTTGGAAGTAAACATTTAAAAAACTCTTAAAGCCACAGAGTAAGACACTAAGTTACAACTTTCCTAAAGAACTGCTTGGTGTGTTTGGGGTGGGGGTGGAATGGGAGAAGGCTGGAGAGGTGGCTCAGTGGTTAAGAGCGTGTGCTGCTTTTGCAGAGAATCCACATTTGGTTCCCAGTCCTCTATTGGGTGGCTCACAACTGCCCATAACTCCAGGGAGCCCAATATCCTCTTCTAGCCACTGCTGACACTGCATTCACGTGCTCCACTCCCAAAATATACACATAATTGAAAATAAAGACAAAGTGTTAAAACAAAAGGAACTGCCTTCCCCAGGCTTATTGTTCAGACTGTGTTGCTACTTTTCAACATCGTCCCATATGACTACACTCTGCAGTCACCTGAGTGAACCACTGAGGCAGGGAAAAGTACAAGATTAGAGAACAAGACTGTCATGTAGTAACGGCACGCATTCTGTTTCCCCTTTTTCTAATAATACAAATATTATGCCAGCTCCTCCTTGTAGCCTGCAAAGCAGCCTCCCCACTGACCCTGATCTATCACCAGCTCTTTTGGACAACTACCACATTTTTTTCCTGGCATTGGAAAACTATCCTATGAAAGTGGTTCCCTGGACCTAGGATAAATGTTAGCTTTGATGCTGTGGTCAGAGTTTCAAAGAAGAAAGGTGTTCCTACAAACTCAATGAACATGAGCAGAGTGCAGGGGACACCTTTGTATTGGGGGCTTTGAAAAGAGCTTCACAACAGTGATCACAAGGCACTACAGGGTGATGTGTTTTATAGATGGTTTGATTTTTGTTCCATGGTCATGTATGCTTTCACAAACCACTTTGTTGCTTCCTTTCCTTTGTTATCTCCTCAGGACTTGGAGAATTTCATTGCCAAATTTGGGGACTTTGGTTTTGTCCTTGTGGCTTTGGGCTCCCTGGTGAGCAGGTATCAGACCCAGGAAGACCTTAAGGAGATGAATAATGCCTTTGCCCACTTCCCTCAGGGGGTTATATGGAATTGTAAGGGTTCTCTTTGGCCTAAAGATATCAAATTGGCTGCCAATGTGAAAATTGTGGACTGGCTTCCTCAGAATGACCTCCTGGGTAAGGACTGCCCAAGTCTGCTTCTCTTCATTGACATGTCTTTGTGATGCCTCAGGTCTTGGATTTAGCTTGGCAAACTCAACAGTACAAAAGGAGTTAGTGATAGGTAGAGAAAGGTCTCCAGAGGACAGGAAAGGAGTGGACAGAGATCTTAGGGGAATCAAGCTATATTCCCTTTCAGGTAGGCTATGTTTTTGTTATTCCTTTCTATCCTGGGCCTAATGTTTATAGCCAGAAATGCTATTACTGTCAAGCACTGTTTACCTTAGAGACAATCTGTGAACTCTGAGACTATGTAGCAGAGTGTGGGGGGGTGTTGTAGAGATGTTACTATTCTCTTGGCTGTTTTAGGAGCACCAGTTTAGCCATGTCTTTCCATTGACCCCCCCCCCCGACACACATAAAAACACTTTTAGTCTACTGAGGGTCTGAGTGGCTCATATCTTTACTACATACATTGATACCAACAATGCCTTTAGGATGTGCCAGAGATCTGGGTGCCAAGATTAACAGTATTACAAATTGTTATGTGAGTATTTATTCCCATTGAATTTTCTTGTACATCAAAGTCTCTCACCCTCCAGCATATTTTTTTCCTTGCCTAATGCTGGTTCTTAGAGATATCTCCCTGCTGTGGCCACAGACAAGAGTAGAGGCTCAGAATCAAAACTGGAGCCCAGAACAAGTGAGGAATTTAAGACACAGATTGTGAGCCACTTCTGTGGTACAAGCTTTTCTTTAAAATTGGGTGGGGCACATGACATCCATTTTAAAGAAGAGACAAGGAGTTTCTGATAGCCCTGGCAGTTCATCGCCACAGGCCGAGATGTTACTCTTTGTTTTCAGTTTTCAATAATGCTTGTATGGGAATACAAGATATAGAGATACTGAGGTACAGGGTCCAATATCTTTTTTTTTTTTTTTTTTTTAAGAGAGGATCTTCTCTCTAGTCCAGGCTGGTCTGGAACTCACTATGCAGCTCCTAACTAGCCTTGAACGTTCAGAAATCCCCTTGCCTCAGCCTCCTGAGTGTTGGGATTATAGACATGGATCACCACTCCCAATTCAGTTCTGGTTTCTGATTTCTATGCGTATTTTGTACAAGTGAGGATGCAGTAAATTCAGGGCAAGTTATTTGAGTTTTGATATCAAGGAATTAAAAAAAGAGAAAATTTAGTTGTTGGAGTAGAGAAGCCAAGACAGAGAGATGACAGATGCAAACATTTATACATGAAAAGAACAGAAAGAGAGGATCAGGCACAGGGAAAACAGAGAGGAAGATGAAAGAAGGGGCAGAGATTTATGTCTAGATTAGCACTCTTGTCTACTGAATTCCATGAGTTCTGAGTCTTAGAAGGATCCGGGATCCTGTGTCTTACAAGACACAATTGCATGTAGGCATGGATACTCAGCATCCACAAAGGCTCTATCAAAACTCTGAGTCCCTTGGTGTTTGCTTAATGCCTTTTCTACTCTGCCTAGTGCCCTGAAATCTCATCCTGAAAAGTTCTGCACCCTTTTTTGTTTGTAACAGCTCATCCTAGTATTCGTCTTTTTGTCACACATGGTGGGATAAACAGCATAATGGAAACCATCCAGCATGGTGTACCCATGGTGGGAATTCCTGTCTTTGGAGACCAGCCTGAAAACATGGTTAATGTAGAAGCAAAAAACATCGGGGTTTCTCTTCCATTAATGAAGCTCAAGGAGGACACACTGGCCCTTGCAATGAAACAAGTCATCGAAGACAAACGGTATACAGCTCTTGGGAATTATGGCCACTTGGCCAAATGCAGCTCTATCACCAAGGGCAATGTGTTCTATTTTCCAATGAAGATGAGTTTCTAGGACATTGCCTTTCTTATGTACATGTGAAATTAGCAGGTGATCTGAGGGTAAGACCAGAACCATTTGGGTCACATGTTGAAGATGTTGCTACTTTATGCCTCTGAAGAAACCAAACTGTATCATCTCCGAGAGTATTTATATTGGTTTCTTGACAGTAGAACCCCATCTGAGAAAGGAGGTTGCTTTTCTGTTCTACAAACACAACTCTCCTCTTAGCCTTCTGAATATTGTTCCTTAGCAGTCATTCACCTCTGCCCAGTGGATGGCGCCTTCATGGTGGTCATGTCTTAACTCCAATGTCACCTCCCTACAGAGTTCATCCCTCACAGTCCTGGTAGCCTCCTCTCCTGCCCACACACATTAATTCCATCTTAATAGTTCTTAGGGAAGTTTTCCTTTATTTTTTATCTCCCACATGAAAAAAGAGAGAAAAATCTCTATGAAGTATGCCTCTTGTTCTCCACTCTATTCTTAGTACCTAGCATAGGGCCTGACCCTTAGTGAAGCAATAAAAGGGGCCTTGGGACCCTAAGATAAATCATTGCATATGTAATACAGTGACCTCCTGAAGAGAAAGTAAAACACTTTCTTTCATGTAGATAAGGGACCTAATAACTTATTAGGATGCTAACTTGAATCTCAGTCTCATGTATTACCTAGCATATGGGAAACACCCACACAATCTTATTAGCAGAGTGAGAAACAACCACACAGATTGAGGTTCTTAGACCTAGAAAAGTTGTTAAGCTCCAAGACAATTGTATACATTTGTAGTTCCATGCTGTTCATTTTCTTTTTGTTTATTTTCATTATTAATTTTGTGTTGGGGAGGAATATGCACACTCATAGCAGGTGTGTGAAAATCAAAGGACAACTTTCTGGAATTTGTTCTCTCCTTCTGCCATGTGGGACCAAAGGACTGAATTCAGGTTGTCAGGCTTGGTGGCAAGTACCTTCACTGGCTAAGCCATCTTGCAAGCCAAAGGATGTTCATTTTCTGAAGAATGGAGTTTTACCTGTCCTTAGATTTTCAGAGAACTAAACTCTAAATGGCTTGATTCAATGAGCCTTTTGAAAAGGACATTTTACATTGGGCTGAGACCCATCTATTGCATATCACCAGGGGTAGTCACAGAATTTGAAGTAGGGGAAAACAAAATATATGAGGGATCTTGGAATGACTTGGGAAATGGAAAAGACTCTTTGTAACAAATGTTTAAAAGTTGAAATTTTACATAATTTTGTAAACCTTTGTTTCCTCCTAAGAAAATGCAATCAATTCTATAGTAATTTGAATCTCAGTGTAACTAACTCATACAAGCTAAACTGAAAGCATAATTTTAATCTTATTCTATGTTCTCTATTTGTAACTCAGTTATGCTCCTGACTCAGAACAACTGTATGTATGTGTGTGTGTCTGTGTGAGAGAGAGATGTCAATGATGATTTTGAAAACAATAATGAGGTTTCAAACAATATCCCCCTCACACGTGGCATAGGTTGATGATATCTGTCTGTGGTTTTGTATGCTTTTCTCAGCCAATAGATTTGTAAAACTGTTATCAAAGATTGTTCATGCCTTTGTCATACCATGCTTGATCTGCTGTCCAATAAATAAGAGATGAGAAGAGTCCTTTGTTAGGGGAAGTAAAGTAGGAAAGAGTAGTACAGAATAGATGGATAATAGAAGATGAAGAATAATAGTAAAGTTTAGTTCTGAGAGAAATCAGAACCCCTTAGAACAAGATCAGATCCACTCTTGGTCAAACTACTTCGAGAGTGAAGTTTCTCATTACTGCAGCACGACCACAGGGTGCTACTAAGCATAGTGTGCAAACATGCAAACTGTAGCCAGGTAAGCCAGTCCTAGTCAACATGGTATTCTGCTGGTGCAGGAAAGAAATGTAGGACTTGCCTGACATTCCCTGGAGTATCATTTGTTACCAAGATAGAAACTGGTACAGAGCTCCAGGTGTGTGTGTGTGTGTGTGTGTGTGAAGGTACATATGTCTTGGGAGAACCACATTAGTAACACTCTCTCTGTTTCTGCCCACAGGTACAAGTCTGCAGCAATGGCTGCCAGGGTCATCAGGCACTCTCACCCCCTGACCCCTGCCCAGCGGCTGGTGGGCTGGATTGACCACATCCTTCAGACAGGAGGAGCAGCACACCTGAAGCCTTATGCATTTCAGCAGCCATGGCATGAGCAGTACCTGCTTGATGTCATCCTGTTCCTGCTGGGGCTCACTCTGGCCACCTTGTGGCTTTGTGGGAAAGTGCTGGGCTTGGTGACCAGGTGGCTGAGTAGGGACAGGAAGGTGAAGAAGACATGACACAAGTGATGCCTAGGGTTGGAGTGCTGGAGAGTCTAATTCTCCAAATGCCTTCCCACCCCAGTACAGCCATCCAGGTCTTCTCCTTTCCTCCTCTGCTCATGGCACTTCAGCTGGACCCTCACTGTTTTCTACCTGTGCTTAGAAATCCTGCACACCATTCATGTGCTTCTTGAATCATTCTTGGGACCTGGGTCTCAGACACACTTCTCCAGCCACCCCTGCCACTTCCTCACTCTGTTCTAGCACTTTAAAGTTTTAGGTGAATTTTATTAGAATTTCAAGGAAAATCTTCAGGGCAGGTGAGCTGGCAATCTTGCTTGCTGCCTTGTGGAGGAGAATGGAGGGGAGAAGAAAAGAAAGCCATGAAGCCATGAAGGTTTAGAGCCTCCATGGAGGTCAGACACTGTCAGCTACGTGGTAGGGAGGAGGAAGATTTAGAGAAAAAGTAAAGAAATACAAGATGCTAGGGCTTTTAAAGAAAGCATGTTTAGAAAATGGATATGAAGAAAAGGAGAGATTACGCTTTTCTGAATTCTTCAGAAGAGAATTCTACAGAGACCTACATGTCTGTGGCTGGGTCCAGACTGAGCGCTGCACTAGGAGGCTGGATTCCAGGCAGGAAAAGTTCACTATCTCATTAATGCACTAGATAGTCCACCCATCTATTTAGCATGACTTAAGGTGAACCTGCCTTCCCAGGGGGTGGTCCTATGACCAGGTGATTGTCCAGCAAAACTGGAAAGGTGAGTCTTCCAATAGAGAGACTACAAATTTTACAGTCTTATCCAGTTCATCTTATGGGGCTATTTACTACTCTCACATTCTCCCCTCTGAACAGGGAAACCCTAAAATATTTTAGGGATTAGATAAGACCTCCCAAATACTTTTGGCATTTCTGTTTGGCTTTTGGCACAGAGTAGGCTGCTAAGAGGCCCAAGGATATTTGGACTTTTAGCTAAGAAAGAAACTGTTTTTCTTTCTTTTCTTTTTTTTTAACCCTAAACTGAGTAGCCAATTTCTATCTCCTTTTCTTATCACACCATCCTCTGAAGAGGTTACCCTAATTGCCAATAGGAAATCACGGTGCAGACTGCTCTGGCTTCTCCCACGCTGAATAGAGGGCACAGGTTGTGGCAACTGGGGTATCCCTTCAGTGGGTCTATCTAAAAGACCCCTAAATTGTTAACTGTTAGTTGTAGTGAGAAAAGAAAGTCCTTGACTGGTGCCTGGGAGAAGTAAAGGCAAGTGTAGTTAGCATTATAAATTCTAGACAGGGACCCAAAAAAGTCAAAACAGTGTAAATTTCAAGGTAAGAGTACTGATTGCTTTTGCAGAGGACCTGGGTTCAATCTTGGCACCCACCTAAGTGGCTAACAACTATCTGTAACTGCAGTTCCATGAAATCTGACACCCTCTTCTGACCTCTGCAGGTATTGCATGACATAAGTACACTTATGCACATACAAGCAATACACTCTTGCACATAAGAAGTAATAAAAATTTTCGTCTTTTTATTTTATAGTAAAAGCCTACTTGTTAATGGACAGGCCCTCCACTTTACCCTCGCATCTCCTGTAAGTGTACTCATAGCTTAGGAAACATGATCTGTTCTCATCTACCTGGATAGAAACAGCTCCTTCCAGACAGTGTAAGTTAAACTGTCAGTTTAAGAATGTAGAAAAAAGAAGAAAAAAAAAAACCACTTAAACCCTCAAAACCTTGCACAGCAAAATCAGAAGGAAAGTCATGTGCCAACAAAATGGAGAAAACATTTTCAACCTGTAGCAGAAACAAAAGGCTAATTTACATAATGTTTAAAGAAGTTGAAAATGGGGGAAGGTAACTATGGGACACTCACATTTTGGAGTAATATATAGTCATGAAGTAGGATGAATGAGGACAGTATAAACTGAAGTGAAATGAACAATATTTCATTGTAAAAATGTGCAAAAGGAAAGAATAAAAAGTGTGCCCCAACTCTTTGCAGAATAAAGAAAGAATACACACCCATTCTTCTTCTGTAAATTGTATATTTTATTGAATATTTGTGCTTGATAAAAATAATAGAGGATTACATGAATGATTAGCTATAGACTAGGGATAAGAATAGAGTAGGAGAGGGGCTGGAGAGATGGCTCAGCAGCTAAGACCACTAGAGAACACGGGTTGATTCTTAGCACCCACATGGCAGCTTATAGCCACCTGTAACTCCAGTTCTGGGAATTCGATGCCCTATTGTGACCTCTGTGGGCATTACAGGAAATGGGTGCACTTGATGCACATGCAGGCAATACACTTGTATGCATAAAATAAAAAATGAAAAATAAAAGAATGGGGTAGGAAGTCTGCAGAAAAGGGTGAAAAATCTGTGAATCTACCTTTCTGTATAGCTTTGGTTGGGGAAATGTGTTACTATTTTTTTTTTTTTTTTCGTCATTTTGAGACAGGGTCTCCCTGTAGCCTCAGCTGTCCTGGAACTCACTATGTCCACCAGGCTGGCCTTGAACTCACAAAGATCCACCTGCTTCTGCCTCCCAAGTGCTGGGATTAAAGGCATGAGCCACCATGTCCTGCTGATAGGTTACTATTTTACATACTAAGTATGTACTTAAATGGACAGCAGTAGGTAAATCCTTTAAAATGAAATATGAACAGAAAAAATGAAATTAATCTTTTTAAAATGAATAACATAATTGTAAAACATGAAAGATATTTTATACAAGTATATGCTGAACAAAAGATGGATATAACTGCAAAATCTTGTCCTTCATTGAATAGGTTTGTAAATAAAAGTTGTGTGGGGGCCTGGAGAGAAGGCTTAGTGTTTAAGAGCAGTAGCTGATCATGCTGAGGGCCTGGGTTCAATTCCCAGTTATGGCTGACAACCACCCATAACTCCAGTTCCAGGGGACCTGATGCCATCTTCTGACCTCCATGGGCATTGCATAACATGGGTGTACTTACATGTAAGCAAATACCTTTGTCTGCTTTTACACAGTTTCCACCCTCTTAGCCATTTGCATAACTTTATTTACTAATCCTAGCTCATTCCTGGTGAACATTCATGCAATATTCTCCGTGTGTTTTTCAACTGTCAGCCTCTTCTTGCTCATGAGACATGACATGGGTGCACTTACATACATGAAGGCAATACACTCATACACATAAAATAAAGATAAATAAAATATATATATTTTAAAGTTGTATGGATTACTATTACATAACTCACTTTCTATGCTAGGATTGGGCAAATACATCAGTGGTACTGGATTGAATTCCTAGTTTTCAAGAGGTGAATTTGAACTTCTCACTAGACAGAAGTATATCTACACATGTTATAGTTCAGTTTAAGGGTATTACTATGACTTTATATTTCTGTATAAGATGAGCATACCTCTACATAAGGAAATAATTATATGGTATTTATAACCTCATCAATACCTGTATTTCCTAGTTCTGATCATGAAAAAGAGAGAGACACTAGTAGTTCATTACAAAAGAGCAAAGTGAACAGCCTCATCCTGGTTTCTAAGCATCACTCTCCATTCAAAGGAACCAATATGTCTTGAAAATGTTGATTTGAAAAGTGAGAAAGGGCAAGTCCAAGGTGAACATCATGTAGCAGGATGAAGGAGAATACTCAAAATGGGTGAGGCTTCCACAGGGACACCATAGCAAAGGGAGACAGTCATAGATTACAGCTCATTGAAAAGAACAATATGTTTGAATACCGATAATAAGGGGGCCAGAGAAACACTCAGTGGTTAAGAGCACTGACTGCTCTTGCAGAAGACCTGAATTTGATTAAGGTCTGTTATATGAAATACAAACAAGCTCAATAAAAATATTTTTTTAAAAAGTGCTCACCACCCAGCTTGAGTAACTACCATTAGCATTCACTCAACCCAATCAAGTTATTGTGAAGCATACCCCACATATCAAAGCACTGCTGCATACACTGCAAATGTAGCTGTAAGAGCCTCCTTTTTACTAGCACAGCAACATCTTATACATTTCTCAAGATTTTCATATGTTTAGTGCTCAGTTTTCTCTGACGAGCATGTATGGTTTAAATAACTTAGTTAAATCACTACATCCACTATTTTAACACAGTAGCCCATGACCTTTCATATTGCCTTTCTGTTTCCTTCTTTGAAGCATCTATTACTAATAAAAGATATACTTGATTCACTTATTTATTGATTTACCTCATTGCCTCATGAGGATGGAAGTTTTTGGAGGATGGATGTTTTGTTTCTAGTGCTTACTGATCCATTCTCTGCAGAAGATTAGAATGTACTTTATCATTGGAAAAATATGATCATTGAGTAATTGAATAAATGTAGTTACAAAAAGATTCTTTATACACTCATATTTATATTATAGATCTACGGAAGGAGAGAGAGGAGAAAAATGGAAAGAGAGGGAACACCAGGGCAGCTGACAGCTCAGTTGAGTGGAAGGCAGACTGCTTGAGCACTTGGGGGCTGCTAGTTCAAGCCTTAGACTTCGAAGGCCATATAGTCTAGAATTCTGATGTCTGAGAGCAAAAGATGGAGGTCACAGCTCCAGAAGAGGGACAGGAAAGGAATGAATTTTTCAACTCTCATTTCATTCTTTTGTGCCCTCAGCAGATTAAGATGGTGCCCATCCACTTTGAGTGAGGATGGGTATAATTTATTCATTTCACTGATTGAAATGCTACCCTCTTCTGGAAATAATTCTTTACCATATGAGTATCCCTCAGTCCAGTCATCATGACACTTAAAATTGACCACTACACTAACACATTATGGGAAGTACACGTGAAGCTTTGTGAGGACTTATACAGCTTACTATCCCATTTTCTTTATCTTTCTTACTTTTTCCAATATTTATTGTAATGCATATGACTGTGAAGTATGAACAAATGTACAAGAATGTAATACATTAACTTCATATTTTTAGAAAGATTTGTTGACATAAGGCCAACAGCAAAGCTGCATTCAAGAACTGTCTTCATCTGAAGGCACAAAAGCCATTCAGGCCCTTCCCTTCTTGTTTCAGGCTTTCCCGGGCAACCTTTACTAAAACCTGTTTGAGACCAGAAAATAAAGCTGTCTACAGAAAGCAGTGTGCCTACAAGCTTGGTCAACTTATAAGTGGTCAGAATTGGAAGCTCTCTTGACCTTAGGTTTAGGATCACTGCAGAATGCTCCATCCTGTTATATGATGTTAAATTATAATTATCATCTCAAACTTAGTGATTCAGTGCTCCAGGTAAAGAACTGGTCTTAGGGCACAAGCACATTTTCGTGAAAAAATTACTTCTTCTTTTATTTATTTTTTTAGTATTGAAGAGTATATTAAGCATTTTATTTTACTTTTTATCTGTCTGTCTATCCATCTATCTATCTATCTATCTATCTATCTATCTATCTATCTATCTATCTATCTATCTATCATCTATC